TTTTATTAGGAAAAGATATATTAGTATATTCACTAAATATTATTTTGTTTGGCAAGATATATTTTGTTGATATATTTTCTAGCTTATCTTAGGAAAAGATATTGGAAGATTTTAGTTTCCTAGTATGATTGTACTTCCTTGTAGCGCAAGGAGAGTGATTGTATAAATATTTGAGGCCTTGGATGAATACAGGCAAGTGATTGAGTTTCAATCTTATCATGGTATCGGAGCTAAGGTTGCTTCAATAATTTTTTTTTACCATTCTACCACCATGGCTGGCGATCCACCGCCACCACCACCAACAAAAATAGAACCTACCTCTCCCTTTTACCTTGGACCCCAAGATCGTCCGGGCGATTTTATCACCTCTCAAAGACTAAAACTTGATAATTTCAATGAGTGGTCTCATGCAATCTACATTGCATTGTCCTCGCGAAGGAAATTCGGCTTTCTCGATGGCACTATCACGAGCTATACTCCTCCTTGCACAAAGGATGATTGGGTCACGATACATTGTATGCTCGTTTCGTGGCTCATGAACACAATTGACTCGAAGGTTCGTTCTATGCTATAAAATTATGACAATGCCAAAAAGTTGTGGGATGACTTGCAAGAACGGTTTGGCCTCATCAATGGCCCTCGCATTCAGCAACTAAAATCGGAAATAAGTCAATGTGAGCAGCCCAAATCGATGCCAGTTGCGGTGTATTTCAGCAAGTTATCTGTTTTGTGGGATGAGCTTGATAAACACGAGCCTCTAATCAATTGTAAATGCGGCAAGTGTACGTGCGATATTGGGAAGCAACACGCTGCAAGGCGTGATGGTGATCGACTCCAACAATTTTTGCTTGGGCTAAATTCGGATTATTATGCTGCATTACGCTCTACCCTGCTTTCTCAAGATCCCTTGCCGACCTTGAATAGAGCGTTTCAAACTATTTCCCAGGAGGAACGTGTTAGGGGAATCTCTAGCCACAAAGAAGAGCAACCCGAGGTGTCTGGTTTTGCGGTTCGAATGGAGCACACCTCCAAGCCGCGTTTGTCCCGGGCCGAAAGAGCTGCGCTTGAGTGTACTTTCTGCCATAAGAAGGGTCATGATACCACCACGTGCTTTGACAAACATGGGGTCCCTGCTTGGTATATTGAGAAATATAGTACAAAAGAAAATAATAAGGGGCTTAGTCGTGGCAGAGGTGCGCCTATTAAGGCCAACGCCACCCCTGCTGCGGCAGCTCCACCTTCGGCATCGGCTGCTCCGACTCTCACTGCCGAACAGTGGCAGGCCTTAATGGCCGTTATGGGTAACACACCCCCACCACCCCATCGTGTGAATGGTAAGTGGATCATCGATACCGGTTGCTCCCATCACGTAACCGGCAATATTTCTTGTTTATTGGAGGTTCATGATGTGCCTTCGTGCAATGTAGGACTCCCGGATGGCCAGAGTGTAGTTGCCATGAAAGAAGGGGTTGTAAAACTAACGGACAAAATCACTCTTTATAATGTGCTTTTTGTTCCAAAATTAAATTGTAACTTAATTTCGGTTTCACAATTGTGCTCCACTACTAATTGTGAAGTCATAACTAACTCTTCGATTTGTACTATACAGGACCAACGCACGAGGGAGGTGATTGGAACGGGTGATCTAATGGATGGACTATACTATCTTCGGGAGGAAGCATCATTAGCGGCTATTTCAGTTGAAGACACCTTGAAGCTATGGCATAGGCGTTTGGGTCATCCTTCCGAGAAAGTTGTAAAGCTACTTTCTTTCCTTAGTAATTCTAGTGGTCATTTAAATAAAGATTGTGAAGTGTGTCATCGTTCTAAACACACTAGAGACAAATTTCCTTTAAGTGAAAATAAAGCTTCCCGTATTTTTGAGATAGTACATTGTGATTTATGGGGACCATATGCCGAACCCTCTTCTTGTGGTGCTCATTATTTTTTAACTTTGGTAGATGATTACTCTCATGTGGTTTGGATTTATTTATTAATTGATAAAACGGAGGTATTTAAAATATTCATGTCATTTATTGCTATGATTGATAGGCAATTCTCACAGAAAATAAAAATTGTACGGAGTGATAATGGTACCGAGTTTTTTTGTTTGAAAAACTATTTCCTAGCATAGGGAATTTTATTTCAAACCTCTTGTGTAGGTCCCCACAACAAAATGGAAGGGTAGAAAGAAAACACCAACACATACTTAATGTTGCTCGTGCCCTTCGATTTCAGGGGGGGTTACCAATTTATTTTTTTTGGGGGGGGGAGTGTGCTTTGGCTGCGGCTCATGTTATTAATCGTACCCTTTCGGTCCTCCTAAACAATAAAACACCCTATCAAATGTTGTTTGGCTCCCCACCTTTTTTTAGTGAACTCCGTGTGTTTGGGTCGTTGTGCTTTGCTCATAATCAACGGGCAAAGGCTGATAAATTTGCGAGTCGTAGTCGTAAATGCATCTTTGTTGGTTACCCCTTTGGGAAGAAAGGATGGTATCTATTTGATCTTGACAAAAAGGAATTTTTTGTATCTAGAGATGTTCGTTTTTTTGAAGATGTATACCCTTATTTAGATGTCGTAGGCACAAATATAGATGTTGCTACTGATGATATGAATGCAACTATTACTTTGGGTGATGATACGGAATATTTTCACCCGTATGATGAGGGCAACGATGGCCGGCCACTGCTGCCACCACCTGTGTCTGTGCCGCCGCTGCAGGTGGGAGGGTCACCACCGCAACAGCCTGCTACAGCAGCAGGAAGGGAAGAGGAGCTCGGGGATGCCACGACACCCGGTCTAATGGGGCGTGGGCATCGTATTAAAATTCCTTCGACAAGATTCAAGGGCTTTGTTACTCATACTAATGTGGCTCGAAATAGTCCATCCAAGGATCTTCCTAATCTAGTCATTCCACCTCCCTCAGGTATGTCGTATCCTATAGCACATTATGTTAGTTGTGATAAGTTTTCTGCAAAACACCGAAATTTTGTTGCAGCAATAACAGGTGGAAAGGAGCCTAGATCATTTAAAGAAGCTATGCAAGATAGTGGTTGGAAACAAGCAATGAAGGAAGAAATGCGTGCCCTTGAGGATAATGGCACATGGACCTTGGAGAAACTACCTCCCGGTAAGAGGGCTCTTGGAAGTCAATGGTTGTACAAAATTAAATACAACTCTGATGGGAGCATTGAAAGATTGAAGGCGAGATTAGTTGTCTTTGGTAATCATCAAACCGAAGGCATAGATTATGATGAGACATTTGCTCCCGTTGTCAAAATGACCACAGTTCGTGCATTCCTTGCCATTGTCGCTGCAAAGCACTGGGAATTACATCAAATGGATGTACATAATGCGTTTCTTCATGGTGACTTGAATGAGGAGGTATATATGAAAATTCCACCGGGCTTTACCGCCGATGAACCGGGTTTTGTTTGTCGTCTCCGAAAGTCTTTATATGGTCTCAAGCAAGCTCCTCGTTGTTGGTTTTCCAAGCTTACTACGGCTCTGAAAAAGTATGGTTTTGTTCAATCGTACCCGAATTACTCTCTATTCACTTATACACAGGGCTCGATTCAACTTAATGTCCTTGTTTATGTGGACGATCTAATTGTTGCAGGGAACAATTCTACAGCCTTGAAATTGTTCAAAAATTATTTGAGTAAGTGTTTTCATATGAAGGACTTGGGAGTTCTCAAGTACTTTCTTGGCATTGAGGTAGCACGGAGTAGTACCGGTTTGTTTTTATGTCAACGTAAATACGCACTTGATATAATAACTGAGACAGGGTTCTAGGGTCGAAACCGGCTTCAACACCCATGGAGCAAAATCATCGCTTGGGTCGTGATAACAGCCCCCCTCTTGATGATCCAGAACTGTATAAACGGTTGGTTGGGCGCCTTGTTTACTTGGTTGTAACTCGGCCAGATTTGACATACTCCGTGCATGTACTCTCGCACTTTATGAAGGCTCCACAAAGAGCTCACTGGGAGGCTGCCATCCGAGTGGTGCGCTACTTGAAAAGCACGCCGGGTCAAGGCATCTTGCTGCGTACGAACAACGATCTCACCCTCAACGGGTGGTGCGATTCGGACTGGGCAGCATGCCCACTTACTCGTCGTTCCGTGTCTGGCTGGCTGGTCTTCTTAGGTCGTTCTCCTATTGCGTGGAAGTCCAAAAAGCAGCCCACCGTAGCCACTTCATCAGATGAGGCCGAATACCGATCCATGTGTGCTATAACCATGGAAATGAAATGGTTAAAGGGTCTACTTTTCAGCCTAGGGGTCCATCATCCTTGTGCTATTCCTATATTTGCGATAGTCAAGCGGCAATTCACATAGCTCAAAACTCAGTGTTTCATGAACGAACAAAACACATTGAAGTTGATTGTCATTTTGTTCGAGATGCAATTCAAGACGGATTAATTACTCCAATCCATGTTCGCACAAATGAGCAACTTGCGGATATTTTTACCAAGGCCTTGGGTAAACAACAATTTGATTATCTTCTTAGCAAGTTGGGCATCTTTGATTCAAGTGCTCCAACTTGAGGGGGGTATTAGGAAAAGATATATTAGTATATTTACTAAATCTTATTTTGTTTGGCAAGATATATTTTGTTGATATATTTTCTAGCTTATCTTAGGAAAAGATATTGGAAGATTTTAGTTTCCTAGTATGATTATACTTCCTTGTAGCGCAAGGAGAGTGATTGTATAAATATTTGAGGCCTTGGATGAATACAGGCAAGTGATTGAGTTTCAATCTTATCAAATTTTTGCATTTAGAAATTTATTAGCCTTTTAAAATTTTTGCATTACTCCAATCTTAGGTGAGGCGAGATAAGCGAAGGGAATCATAACTCAATAACAATCATTTTACGAAACATAACATGATCATAAGAATTAAACCTCTATCTTAATATGAATAAGTAATTTTTTTAATGACAAAATATTCAATATAAATAAAAGATACTCCATAATTTATTGTGCAAGATAATTAGGTATTCAAAACTCGTAGTATTATAAATTTATAATTCTCAACAAGGTTAACTATTACAAATTGAATAAAATTAATACACCATTACCGAACTAAAAGTCTAGTATCTTTACACTATGGAAAACTTTACTTTAAAATATATCAGACCAAAGTGGAGCAAGATGAAGTTGAAGGATCATATAAAGCAGGAAGCAAAAACTGCCTCTTGTTAACTCCATTTGCATTGTAGCTAGCACCAGTAGTCGGGTTCACCAAAAGGGACCCGGCATAACCCGGGTACGCCCCTTTACCGTATACACCGGGGCAAGCCGAAGCAGCCTCAAGTGGGGCTTCCTTCGGGCCTTGGAAGTACCCGTTTCCATACGGGTTCGTCACGGTCCCGGCTAATAAGGAGGCCAAGTTGATCACCATACCGTCGAGCCCGACATCGTTGTTGGGTGCAACCAATGGTGGGCTTTGCGGGCCGTATATGGGCTGATGGAAGGGCCAAGCGCATTGGCCCGGGCATTGGGTTTCCGAGTTGCCAACCCAAATGTAGGTGGATTTTTGGGAGGTACTTTTGGAAATGTAGGATGATCCGTGGGTTCCACATCGGCTTCTACAGAACCCTTCTACTGCCACGTCGGATGCGGTTAAAATTATGTTGACTGCGTTGACTTGTTGACTGGATTTGGTGGCTAGCTCTACAAGGTGCTTGTTGGTTAGGGACTTGCCTAGGGGGTATGTCTCATCTATGACTTGCTTGCCTAGGGAAAGGGAGAGAGTGGAAGTAGGTTTCTTGGGATCAGCGAGACGATGATACTCGCCTATGGAATTCCACCATGTGGCAACGGATGGCTGGGCTTCGTGTTGGGAGGATGATAGGGAGGTGATAAAGTCAGAGATAATAGCACGTTGGGCAGGTTTAAATTGACCATACCATATAAGGTTGATCGTAATTTTACCATTAAGGAGGGGACCCTTATGATATTGGAAGGCCATCGGCTCAGTCGAGTCACTGAGCCGCCTCGCCGCCAAGGAAAAGCCAAGGAGGGAAAGAAAAAGAGCAAGGTACAAAGTTTTGAAGTGTAAGGATGCCATGGATAATACAAAATGTCACTTTTTGGATAAAATGTTTTTGGTAAGATAGTAAGATAGAATGAGAGAGTTGATGAATGAAGAATATGGTAAAGGAGGATGGTATATATAGGTGTGTTAAGAATAGGAATATTAGGAAAGGAAGTTGCTAGGAAGAAAGAAGCGAAGAAAATAACGTAATGCTAAAAGTGTGTTGTAGTAGTACCAACTAGTGGGCATAACTACTGTAATAAAGTAATACCGTGTTCTTTTAAATGGTTTTGAAGTAGTGAAAGTGACATGGACCAAAAAAAAATACAAATGAGAAAAAAGGCCAGCTGGGCCAGCTCTAATGCAGCTAGTGAAACTGTGAAAGGTTTAGTTGAGATTTGAGAATGGTTTGATGCTGCCAACACGCTTAGCTTGTTAGGTGCGTGGTGAGGTAAACGTTTTATACAAGTTAATGGGTTAGCAGCAGTCTGGCTCCTGCTATACCAGTATGCCACTTTAAATGGCTTACATCAATACGAGTATATCTATGTGACAGTGTTGATGGTTACTTTTCGTCTACGGATTAAGTGTTTGTTTGGTTGATGGTATGAATTATAAAGTAAAATTTAATACAGTAAGGGTTTATTCTCGTACGTTTATTTTCAGTTCAATTCAGTTTAGCTCCTAATTTCCTTCTCTTATAAAATATTCAATTCATTTCAACTCAGCTCAGTTCATTTCAGTTCAGTTCAGTCTATGAGAACAATCCCTAATTCATACAGCTCTTACAACGACTTATAAAAATTCCACTACCAATAAATAGTTCAAATATTTCTTGTTTAGAAGGATAATCTAATGCTTTATTTTTCTTCGACCTCAAATTAAGTAAACCATCTAAATAAATGCCTAATTACAAGTAATAATACTCCGTAGGCGTTGACCGTAGAGATGAGAATGAGCCTTCCCGTGGTTGACCCTTCCCGGGTTAGTTCATGAATAGAGGTCCACGTGGGGGAAGAAGGTCAAACTGTTTGTGCCACTAATAATTACACAGTCCCCTCTTGGCTCTTCTTATCCAAATTGGAGGTCATACGGAGTAATATTTAAAGTGACACTAAACAAATACAACGGCAGCTAGACCACCAACTCTCTCTCCTCCACGTACATCCTTTTTCTTCTTGTTCAGTGTACATTCTTCAATACACTTGAAGGTGTATTTTGGTGGCACGTGTACACCTTACTATTTTGCGACCTAAACATGGCACATATGACACTCGCGTCATCCATCTTTCAAATGTATGCTATAGTTGGATCTTGAACCAAAAAGTACATAAGCTAAGGTTCAGATGAAAATATGACGATTAAATAAATAATTAAGTCATCAAGGTCTTGAACTTGTTCTCTTTAACTCATTTCAGATGTCTATTTTAAAATTTTGTTTAAATTAGATTACCCGATTCGATAATCATAATGGTTCGGGTACCCGTTCCGATAATTTGTTATTGAGTATGGTTATTGGGTATCATTTTAAAATTAACGGTTACTCGGCCGATAAGCATATTTTTGCCTTTTTTCCTACTTAAATCTATTTTTTTAAAATCTAAAATCTTACTTTACTATATAATTATTTTATAATATCAATGATTTGTAATATTGTTAATAATTTGGTCAAAATTATATGATACTAGATGAAGCCCGTGCGATGCACGGTTTGTTTGATTTTTTTTAAATAATGTTTTTTTTTGGTATTTATGAGCCTAAAATTTGTTATATATTTAGATAAAATTCCTAATATTAAAAGATAATATATAATATTTAATTAATTTAAACTTAAAAATCTCATTCGCCAATTTTGCTTACATGGCATTTAAATTATTTAATTCTAAAAGAAGCTAATAATCTCTTATTTAATTGGCTACTACTAAGATTTATAATCCTACATGGCGCGGTGAGAAAATTAGATCCTACGTGGCTCTCTAAAAACTCGGGAAAAAACTCCCCTTTATATATATATATATTAGATTGTTGTTAATTAGTGGTAAATTATATTATAATAACTACATAATTAAGTTTAATTATCATTATTAGATATCTTATTGGGTACTCGATAACCGATCTGAAAATGCGGGTACCCGAAGTCCGAGTACCCGAACTTATCGGTTCGGGATATGGATATCACTTTTAGGAATTTTGGGTATCGGATACCTGAACCGTTAGTACTAACGGTACGGGTACCCATCCCATACTCACCCCTAATTTATATGAGTCTTAATGAAGAGCCTCTCTTACTTGAAAGATAAATGTATTGATTATTACTCTAGCGGTAAAACTAAACGAGAAGAGAATAAATGTCTTTGGTAAATATGCTTCATTTGTCAAAGGATTGTCCAATTGCCTTTATTAAGTCAATGACTAATACATTAGTACTACTCCGTATTATATACTCTGTACAATGTTCTGAATTTGTCACACCAAAGTTAAGCAAGATGAGGTACTAGGATCATACAAAGCAGGCACCAAATATTTCCTTTTGTTAATACCATTTGCATTATAACTTGCTCCAGTAGATGAGTCCACGAGTAAATTACCAGCATACCCCGGGTAAGCACCTTTCCCATACACCCCTGGACAAGCTGTTGCAGCCTCAAGTGGAGCCTCTTTTGGGCCTTGGTAGTACCCATTTCCATACGGGTTCGTCACGGTCCCAGCCAATAGGCTAGCCAAGTTTATAACCATACCATCTAGGCCCACATCGTTGTTGGGTGCAACCAATGGTGGGCTTTGTGGGCCGTAAATGGGCTGGTGGAAGGGCCAGGCACATTGACCCGGACATTGGGTCTCGGAGTTACCTACCCAAATGTAGGTGAACTTCTGAGTGGTACTTTTTGACACGTAGGATGAACCGTGGGTCCCACACCGGCTTCTACAAAATCCATCAACTACCACGTCGGATGAAGTCAACACAATGTTGACTTCGTTGACTTGTTGACCACCTTTGGATGCCAGCTGGATAAGGTGCTTGTTGGTGAGTGACTTCCCAAGAGGATACTTCTCATCAATGAGTTGCTTGCCTAAGGAGAGAGTGAGTGACGTGGCAGTGGTGGTGGTGAGTTTCTTGGGATTAGCAAGGCGGTGATACTTGCCAATGGAGTTCCACCACGTGGCAACAGATGGTTTGGCTTGATTATTGGTGGATGACAAGGAGGTAATGAAGTCAGAGATAATAGCACGTTGGGCAGGTTTAAAATGACCGTACCAAATAAGGTTAATTGTAATCTTCCCATTAAGAAGAGGACCCTTGTGGTATTGGAAGGTCATCGGCTGAGACGACTCAAGGAGTTGCCTCGCCGCTACGGAAAAGCTAAAGAGAGAAAGAAAAAGAGCAAGGTATAGGATCTTGGTAGTAGAGGATGCCATGTTTAGTAAACTAGGTTGTTTAGCAAGTAAGAAAGAGAATAAAATGTTTTGGATGAAGATAACAATAAAGAAGAGGGTATATATATAGTAGAATGAAGTACGTAGTAAAGCATTTAGGATAGGAAAGTGTTAGGAAGAAGTGGACAAATGATGAATAAAGTAAACGTTGAAATTAGATATAGGAAGATATAACGTAATAACAAAGACTAACTAATGGCAAAGCTTATTGTTTAAAGTAGTCATATAAAATCCAAGTGTAATTATTATGATGATTTTGGATGGGAGTTAAGAGAATTTAATTGTCTAATAAATAAAATAATAAAAGATTGGGCGTTAATATGGTGGGAGGAAAGGAATCTGTGATACTCTCATCTCAAGTAGATAAGAATGAAAATGATGCGATGATATCAGCTGAAGAGGCAGGTAGCTTAGAAAAGGTCAAAATGGAGCTGCCACTGCCAGTGTGCTTGCTGTCATAAATTAAGGAGATAAGTTTGTGCATGCTTCTAGCGAAAAGGGTTACTACGTTCTGTGCCGCCTGTGCAGCTGTGCTTACCTGTTAGGCTTTTACACAGATTCTTGGTTTCGATGATTATGCGAGCCTATACACCTGAATATACTGTATATCTGTGTGTATATTATTAACAAATTCTAGATGACTCTTTGTTATAGAATCAATTCTGATTTTATTATAATTTGATCATTATTATATATAATTTTGTATTAGTAAGAGGCACTTGTATAAAATATTGATATATGATAAGATATATTGAAACTCATTTAATAACGGTTTATTTATTAAATTACTTAGAAAATATAGTTGATGTTGACGCATGAAAAGTTTAGACAACTATTTAAAAACAGTGGGAGTATATATATGTTATTCCGTAGTATTTCAGATTTTTTGTAATATCAATTTTTATGTAGTAATTGATTTTTTTTTTTTTAAGAAATTGGACGTGAAACTTTCCGCACAAGAGCTTATGCTACTTATTCAAGTCATGGCATGCTATATTTCATAGACTAAGGGCCTATTCTCATTGACTGAACTCAGCTGAACTGAACTGAACTGAGCTGAACTGAACTAAACTGAACTGAACTGAAATGAATATTTTATAAGAGAAGGAAATTAGGAGCTGAACTGGTCTAAACTGAACTGAACTGAACTGAGCTGAGCTGAGCTGAACTTAATTTCAACGTAATAGAACAGACCATAAGGCCCTGTTTGGTAATTAGCTGGTAGCTGATTGTAATAGCTAATTTACAAGCTGGTTATAATTAGCTGATTGTATGTGTAAAAGACTAAAAGTGTTTGGTAAATAGCTATTAATTGTTAGCTGTTTTAGTGTATTTAAGAGCCAAAAACCTAATTGTTCAATAAGTTAATTTTTGAAAAACCGTTATAATAAGCTTTTTCTAAAAAGAGTTTTTTTAGCCCAAAAACCTCTTTTAAAACTATTTACCAAACATCCAGCTTTTTAAATTGATCAAACCTCTAATTGAGCAAAATAAGCTAAAAGCTCTTTACCAAGTAAGGCCTAAATGTTTTTTTCAAACACTAGGCAAGTTTTATAGAAGTGCCTAATAAGATCACAAATGAACAAAATCATCTATTCTGCTACTTTGTCTTAAACTCTTAATACTGCATACCCTACCTTCTTTTTGGTAGGACAAAACTACATAATCGTACATTTTGCCAAAATTAAAACCAGTGGTGTAGAAATAGAACACACCGTTGCATTATTATAGCTTATTAAATTAGTTTAGTTTAAAGTGACAATTA